TCAAAGAAAGTTCATCAAAAGTTCACACTGTTGCGTGAAAGGAGGACATGTATGCGCGCACACATTCACAGACAGACACACAAACACACACACAGGCAGGACCTTGCTCCTCCACACATTCCAAAGCAACAAACACATTGTGCCATTGCTCCATTTGTCTTTCCCTTAACCCCCACCCGCCCTGTCTAATCTCACCCTGTCGTTCTCACATTAGTTCTGTTCTCACATTTCTCATCTATCCTCCCCTCTGCCTGTGTTTTCTAGCTTTTTGCAGCTGTGGATGAAGAAATGTTGTAGCTCTGCTTGGACAAACAAGTGGACCTTTTTCCAAATATTCAACTCATTTTGGAACTTGGAGGACAAAATGCTCCGAGAACACTTCTCAGGGGGGCAGTTAGTCCAGCTGACAACGGATAAAATGCAACAAAGGCAGAATGGAAGAATGATGTGGTTGCCACAAAATATATGTGTGCACATATTTGGTTAAAATTTGCATTTGCATCAAAGGTACGGTATGTGAAAGCACACAGGATGCCACAGCTTAAAAAGTCAGCAGAAACCCGCACGTTTCTAAGCAGAGATTGATAAAACTGACACGGTGTTATGGCTTCCAGTTGATTTCTTTGCACACAGGGGATATTCTTAAGTGGGAATTCTGAAATGCTAAACATTCGGTTTAGTTGAAATTAACTGTCTGTTCGCTGAAGCTAATCATCAGCCCTCCACCACCGTCATCATCATCATCATCAACCGAGGGACTGGATCCTCTCTAGAGAAGCAACTGAATAACACCGAGCGCCACAACACCAGTCACCTGGCTAGCCAGCTGACAAATAGTGAAAAATTTCAAAATAAGAGCTCATAAGAAAGGGTTTTCCAACAATAAACTGATGATAGATGATGTAACACATGTCAGTTCTTATGCAGAACAACTGAAAATGTTCACACTTGTTGCTGATGATGTGATTAAACTGATAGGAGGCAGTTCAGAATGTGCCGGCTGCAAGTGTCGCAAGGAAGTTGATATCAGCCCTTAATGTAAACAATCTGAGAGGCAAAAGACGAAGAATTCATGCAAGAGATAGCAAAAGAGGTGGACGAGAAGTAAAATAACATAGAAAAGAAGCACAACATTTTTGGCTTCTAATGAAATTATTGGATACAGTTCCATTGATTGATGTCAAGACATTCATGTTTCCCTCAGAGCGACCCGTAATAACTGATGAGATCTACTGACTTTGCAAAAAATTTCCTCTCACATTTTATACAGATGTTTTGTGCATTTCTTGAAGGAATTTCCAAACTCACCAACACAGGTACGCCAATCGTAGCCAAATTCGTAGCCCCTCTGGCAGTGACAGCGGTGACTCCCAGGCAGGTTCACACACTCAGAATTATCCCCACATGTGCCCAAACCCTCAGCACACTCATCTATGTCTGCAGAGAGGGAGACAGAGAAATTAGCTTTTCTTTACATTTACAAGTCTGTAAATCAGGAATTCCTTGTCAACACATGTAAAAGCTGTAATTAGGGCTCATTACTGGTGCTTTTACTGTATAAAAAGAAAAAGCAAGGTTTCATAGGACCCTGTGCAGTCTAGTAGTACACCCTTAACAGCTTCTAAAGGAATTAAGAGGGTAAATAACAGTCAGGTGCTTCCCTTGATTAAGCGATCATCACCAAGTTTGAGCACCTCTAGAAAAGCAGGGGTTTTGGCAGTTTGCTGTTCTGACACATCCAGGTGTGTGCTAACACAATGCCACAATCTTCCAAGAAGTAAATGTCTAAGGTCAGTACAACTGACGAGTTACAACTCAGACTCTACAGACCTCAGTTAGCATGTTAAATATTAAAGGTTGGTGGAGGAGTGATGATTCAGGGTTAATTTGAGGGACCTGGGGACTTTGTAGCCATTAAGTCGACCAGGATCTCCTCTGCATACCAAAGTATTCTAGACAAATGTCAGGCCATCTATCTTACAGCTGAAGCTTGGACATACTTTGGCTATGCAAAAGGATAAGAATCTCAAGCGTGCCAACAAATCTACAACAGAAATGCTGAAAAAGAAAAGAATCAAGGTGTTGCATCCAACCATTCGAAGTCCAGATCTTTACCCGATTAATATGTGTGGAGGGACATTAAGAGAACTGTGCATGAACGAATGCCTGCACACTTCAATGACCTGAAGTGGCACTGCAAAGAATAATGAGCCAAAACTCAACAATTACTTCAAGTTATTGCTGCTAAACTGAGAAATGGTGGCGAGTCTTGTGCACATTTTTTTCCTCACATGACTGTAAAATGCATTGTGTAATACAACATGGAGATCATCTGAGCAGAAAGGCGCACTGAGGCCCATCCATGAGAACTTAGGATGAGCCTGGGGCTTTCTTTGCTGTCAGCAGCGAAAAAGACCTGCTGCTGGGCTAATGACAGACCACACACCAGCTTGAAGTCCTGAAGGCCCTTTTAACTTGAAAATTAACCTTGAAGAGACGAATGGAGAGGAAGGATGAAGAAAAGAAAAAAAAAGAAAAGAAAAGAAAAAAGAAAAGAGTGATTACAGACGATTCTGCTCAACCAGCCTGTACTTGACCCCTCTACACTGGCTGGACAGATGTTGATAAAACACAGAAAAACTGTCTTGGACTTCGACATTTTGTATGCGACAGAAAACGCTAGACTAAACAAAGGCAGAGGAAGCACTCTGAAATGTACATAAACCATCTCATTGCTGCACAGTATATCCACAGAAGAATTCACTCTATGTGCTTGTTCACAGAAGGACTGACACAGACACAGATAGATACCGTAACAGTTGTGCCCATCTCCTGTATAACCAGTAGCGCACTGGCACTGGAAAGCCAGGTCCTCTAACGGGATGCACTGGGCTGTGGTGTCACAGTCGTGGGTCCCGGCATAGCAAGGGTTGTACAGCTCAGGGCCTGGAGCTTCCATTTCATGAGGGAAGAAAAAGAAAGGATTGTGTTTTTAATCACAGTGGATGCAACTTAACAGTGACTGAGAGTGACAGTGAAAAATTACTCCAAGATTCCTAACAGTGCTGCTGGAGAGAGGATCCGTTTGGACACCAGGTGTCTATGATTTTTAGGGTCGAGTACAATAACTCAGTTTTGTCTGAATTTAGAAACAGGTCATCCAGATCTTTATGTCTTTTATACATGCCTACAGTCTAACTAGTTGGTATTTGTCATCTGGTTTCATGGATAGATAAGCTGGGTATCATCTGCATAGCAGAGAAAATGTATGCTATTCCTTCTAATAATACTGGCTAAGGATAGCATGTATAATGTAAATAGAATTGGCTCTTGCAAGGAATCCTGTGGAATAATTAACCTTAGTGTGTGAAGAGGACTTCCCATTTACACAGATAAGTAAGCTTAAGTACTTTTTATATGCTAACTTTCATATAACTCCCTGTAACCAGTGTCTAATATAATTTCCTTATTTAATATAATATATATACTTCTGCCATGTTGGATTTTTCATGTTCAAAGTTTCATTTGAGGTCAGCCTTAAAAATAATTCAATATTTCCTCTATTTCAGACATTATTTTGTCTTACACTGGCTCTGTATGATGACAAGGAGAGACCATATCCCTGTTCTAGTCATCTCAGTCAAATTGTTTTGGCTATGGTTACAGAAGCCCCACCCACTTGCTGGTAAAACCTTCTGTTTAGGAGTAGCAGCCAATCAGACGAAAGATGGCCTAAAGAGCCAAAAGCAGGTAAAATGGCTTGTTTCAGGTAACCTGATGGAAATCATGCAAAGCTACTCTATTAGAAAAAAAATTGCTTGTGTACTGTCAGTAATGTCCTGTTGTCCATTTGATTTCATTTTCATTATCTAGTCTTTCAAAGCACATTAAAAGTGGCACCTTCAACAAATGTTAAAAAAGAAAGAATTTAAAGAAGCAGACAATAACATTAACAGACATTATGATCTGAAAATAAACTGCATTAGACATAAAAGAGCAACATTGTTAAAGCTGGTGTGAGAAAATTCAACCAGACAACCACACAAAATCTGCTACACACCAAATATCCTGAACTCAGATCAACTGAGGTCTGGATTATTTAGTGAAACGTCAATGATTAGGGCAATGATTACAGGGCAAGTTAACCAAACACACATGTAAAATCACTCCAGACAAACTCCCACAGGACGGACTCCTCTTAGGAAGCAACTCCCTTCATCTTCATGTTCTCTACGTTCAACATATGGACAAGCTTAGACGCATATGGGGGGTAGACACATGGACAGAGGGATGAGTGAGCGGATGTGAGTTCAGGGTTTCTTCATACTGCTGCGTGGCTCAGACAGACAATTTCAAAAACAAACCTCAGACTAATTTTGAGAAAATCAGAAATATAAACAAAAGAGCAAAGAAAACCATGGGGGAAAAAACAGAAGTGTTAAAGATGAATAAATATGCTTCAAATTGTCTCTGTACAGCAGGATACAGCAATGATCCTGGCACTGTTATAAGAATGCTCCAACTCTTATTTTTTTGTATTATTATAACTTAAGCAATATTATAGTGTCGTTAAAACAAGTCTCAGCATCTTTGATCGATAACTTTGGTCTCGTGTCATGTAAAAATATTATCTAATGTAAAATACCCCACACTGCTCAGGCATTCTTTAAATATTCCTTCTACCCACACAATTTAAATATTGGCCCAAATATGGACTTTAGATTCGGCTCAAACACAAACCTTCAGTTTCTGCATAGTTTCGCTTTTATTTCAAGGACATCTATAGTTAGTCGGGTCCAGTTGGCTGGGATGTAAAATATTCTCAGTTATGCACATGAACACATCTGTTATAATATCTGTTTTTAATAATCTTAGAGTGTTTCATGCTGGGCTTTTGCTTTACTGTCAGCTTCATCATATGCCATAAACAACAATACACTTGCACATAAACAAAAACAAACACACACACACGCAGCTTGTTTTCATCTCCTGAGGCCAGAGAGCAATTTTGGCTCATTATCACAGAGAGAGAGAGAGAGAGAGAGAGAGAGACCTTGCAAAGTCTGAATGTGGCGGTAAAGAAGGGGAGATGAGAGGGTGAGATACACATGGACTGAAGAAAAGGCTGAGGGATAATTAAAGAGAGAGAGAATGGGAGAAGCACGCACGCATGCACACACACACACACACACACACACACACATCATCATCATCATCATCATCATCATCATCATCAAAGTGGTGAGTGCAGTTTCCCACCTGTTGCTTTTCAAAAATCTCCTCCACACACACATAAACACGTAGACACAAACAAACTGGGTTTATGCACTGGACACTTAAAGTCCAGCAACACTGAATCATCTGAACGCACTAAAAGCTGGATTTAAGTGGTTTATCGGGCAAAAAAACAAACAGCACAGCTAAGGAGAAAACTACCCAAATGAATCCATAGTGGTGTCAACAGTTAGCTAAAGGGAGGCTGGAAATAAAAAACTAACTGCAGGCATGGTGCTTAAAACATGGGGGCAATTAACATGCAGTTCTTTTAAAATATGCAGCTTTGGCTTTTGCACTACGGGGAATGTACAACAGGGGCCCGAGTCTCATTAACAGACTCAGACTCTTTAAAATGACGAGATGTTTGTTCAAAGCACAATCCAGATAATTAAGAC